AACTCTTGCAGTGTAGTTGGTCTTCTTACCGATGTGTTGTTAAGCTGTCTTGAAGAGCCTGCTGTACTGCCGGTTACAGCCTGACTCCATTTCTGAGTCACTGACCCGGATAACTCTTGCAGTGTAATTGGTATTCTTAACGATCTTTTCTTTAGTACGTCCTGTTATTGTTGTAAAAATTGTTTTATTACTGCCGGTTACGGCCGGACTCCATTTTGAGTCACTGACCCGGACAACTCTTGCAGTGTCTTTTATTTATTTTATTTATATTACTTTTATTTTTTTTAATACTTATATAAATTTATGGTAATCAATTTCTGTTAAATATTGAACCAAGTACGACCAGATATATTGTTGTTTATCTTTAGGAGGATCTAGCAATATTTTGGTATTAACATTTTCTATTTGAACCTTATCCAAGTTTGATTGTAAATTTTTTCCTGGCTTGTGAGTGATTAATACAGTTAACTAGTACGTGTTCTATATCCTCTTTAATGCCGCATGTATTGCATATTGGAGGTACATTGCGGATGTACTGGCCTAGCTGACCAGGTAATAAAGTAGTACCCAACCTAAGTCTAGTTATTGTTTTTGCATTATATCGATTACCTTGATAAAAAGTGGGTTTTTTCTTTACTCCAGTCTAATTTAGTCCAAAGGGTGACAAGGGGATATAAATATGGTCACTACAAGTCTACTTTCGGCTGGCAGTAAAAAAACCTTGCCAAAGTGGGGCATTCGTTTGGTTGTTTGGGATATACAAGTACGCAACCAACTATAAATCAATCCAATCTAATAACTGTTTTTTTCCCGCTTTTTTCTATGTTAAATTATTTTAACTCAAAATAATAATTGAAATAACTTTCTGAAATAAAACATATATCATACGCCTAACAAAACGATATACCATACGATAGATGAAACGCTAAACCATACGATAAACGAAACGCTAAACGCTAAACCAGACGATAAACGAAACGCTAAACGCTAAACCAGACGATAAACGAAACGCTAAACGCTAAACCATACCATGTTACATACGACAAATAAAACGCTTAACGATACCATGAACCATACGATATACAAAACCCTAAACGATGACATTTACCATACGATGAACGAACGATGAACGAACGCTGACCGAACGTTGTACGAACGCTATACGAATGATGTACGAACGATGACCGAACTCTATACGAACGATTCCCGAACGCTGTACGTACGATTCCCGAATGAAAAAAGTGTTAACTTTTACGTTACAGGGACTGTACCACAAAGGGATGGTTAGGATTTGCTTTGGGGGTTATGGCTCAAACCGTTTAGGAATTAGGGGCAAAAAAGGGGGAAAAACAAGGTTGTCCTGGTTAATGGACAAATACTTTAGTAAAAAACATAATTTAAAGCAGTGTAAGGGAGATAAATCAAATACATCATTTGAATTACCTGCCTTACACTGCTTTTAAATTATGTACAAAGTAATGGTTAATGAACAATTTAGACAATTTAAAACAGTGTAAGGGAGGTAATCCAAATACAACATTTTGATTACTTCCCTTACACTGCTTTTAAATTATGTTTAAAGAAATGCATATTTATAAAGGAAGACCAGTGAAAATATCTGCAAATGTTGCATCTTTTTTTTCACAAAAAAATCCATATGAAAGATTTGACACCATATTTTAAATTCTATTATAAAATAGATTAAGTTATTTAATTTATGGTAAATTTAAATGGGTAATTATGGTTGCAAACTCCATTGGAAATTTGAATTGAGATTATGAACATATCTTGAGGGAAAGAATTTTTTGGGGGAAAAAGAGGGGGGGATAAAAAGAAATTGTGGGGGGTCAATTTTTTCTCATTTTAGATTTCAGAAATTAAAAAGAATTATTCTTCAAATATTATTTTTTTTTCAAATTTCAAATATTGAAAAATTTCAAGAAGTAATCTTTAAGTGCACAGTATGGCGCATTAGATTTGTAAAATCTTTGACCACATTTATTTATTTGTTATGCCGAATCTAACAGTGTAGTTAGATTTTTAATTTTGGGTCCAGTTTTGAAATTGGTCTACATTAAGGTCCAAGTTTGATTTTAACAAAAATTGAATATATGGGGCTCTTTGATATGCTGAATCTAAAATGTATTTAGATTTTTGATTTTGGGTCCAGTTTTCAAGTTGGTTCAAATTGGAGTCCAAAATTAAACTTTGTTTGATTTCAACAAAAATTGAATATATGGGGTTCTTTGATATGCTGAATCTAACCATGTATTTAGATTTTTTTATTTGTGGGCCCAGCTATCAAATTGGTTCATATTGAGGTCAAAAGGGTCCAAAATTAAACTTTGTTTGATTTCATCAAAAATTGAATTATTGGGGTTCTTTGACATGCCAAATCTAACCGTGTATTTAGATTTTTAATTTTGGGTCCCATTTTTTAAATTGGTCTACATTAAGGTCCAAAGGGTCCAAAATTAAACTTAGTTTGATTTTAACAAAAATTGAATTCTTGGGGTTCTTTGATATGCTGAATCTAAACATGTGTTTAGATTTTTGATTATTGGCCCAGTTTTCAAGTTGGTCCAAGTTGGGGTCCAAAATTAAACTTTGTTTGATTTCAACAAAAATTGAATATATGGGGTTCTTTGATATGCTGAATCTAACCATGTATTTTGATTTTTGGGCCCCATTATCAAATTGGTCCACATTGAGGTCAAAAGGGTCCAAAATTAAACTTTGTTTGATTTCATAAAAAATTGAATTCTTTGGATTCTTTGATATGCTGAATCTAACCATGTATTTAGATTTTGGATATTGGACCATAATAGGTAAATTAAAAACATTTAAGTTCTAAGACCACATTCATTCTGTGTCAGAAACCTATACTGTGTCAAATATTTAATCACAATCCAAATTCAGAGCTGTATCAAGCTTGATTGTTGTGTCCATACTTGTCCCAACTGTTCAGGGTTCAACCTCTGCGGTCGTATCAAGCTGCACATTTTATTAAGATTTGCAGGGCAATACTTCCTACTTGACGATACTTTGAGTTTTTATAAAACCAACTGAGCATGAATATTTTTAGTAACATATAACTCTGCTTCTGTATTAAGGAATGATTTGATAAAATTGATCTGAAACTTGATATAAATGTTGATTTCTATGATGTAAGCGATTTTAGAATCTGCCCACAGTCACTAAGACACTTTTTGTGTGATGATACTTTGATGTTTTATTATACCGTCTAAGTTTTTTATCAAAGTTTAATTATGAGTGGAGTATAATTTTCACATCAGTGCAACTTCTTGCTTATTAAGGAGAATTTCTGAAATGTTTTAAAGTGTAAAGTATCTCATAGTTTATCTATCTATCTCATATTTAAGTCAGCCATCATACTTATTAGCTCACCGGGGCCCGAAGGGCCCCATGTGAGCTTATGCCATCACTTGGCGTCCGTCGTCTGTCGTCGTAAACTATTTCAAAAATCTTCTCCTCTGAAACTACTGGGCCAAATACCTTCAAACTTTAACAAAATGTTCCTTAGGGTATCTAATTTATAAATTGTATCCGAAGTTTTGATCCATTGACAAACATGGCCGCCATGGCTAAAAATAGAACATAGGGGTCAAATGCAGTTTTTGGCTTATATCTCAAAAACTAAAGCTTTTAGAGCAAATCTGACATGGGTTAAAATTGTTCAATTGGTCAAGATCTATCAGCTCTGAAATTTTCAGACGAATCGAACAACCCATTGTTGGGTTGCTGCCACCGAATTGGTAGTTTTAACAAAATTTTGCAGATTTTTGTTATTATTTTGAATTTTATTATAGATATATATAAACTGTAAGCAGCAATAATGTTCAACAAAGTAAGATCTACAAAAAAGTCAATATGACCATAATTGTCAATTGACCTCTTAAGGAGTTATTGCCCTTTAAAGACAATTTTACACAATTTGTTCATCAAGTTTGCTAACATTTAAAAATCTTCTCCTCTGAAACTACTGGGCCAATTACCTTCAAACTTTAACAAAATGTTCCTTAGGATATCTAATTTATAAAGTGTATCCGAAGTTTTGATCCATTGACAAACATGGCCGCCATGGCTAAAAATAGAATATAGGGGTCAAATGCAGTTTTTGGCTTATATCTCAAAAACTAAAGCTTTTAGAGGAAATCTGACATGGGTTAAAATTGTTCAGTTGGTCAAGATCTATCTGCCCTGAAATTTTCAGACGAATCGAACAACCCATTGTTGGGTTGCTGCCACCGAATTGGTAGTTTTAACAAAATTTTGCAGTTTTTTGTTATTATTTTGAATATTATTATAGATATATATAAACTGTAAGCAGCAATAATGTTCAACAAAGTAAGATCTACAAAAAAGTTTATATGACCATAATTGTCAATTGACCCCTTAAGGAGTTATTGCCCTTTAAAGACAATTTTACACAATTTGTTCATCAAGTTTGCTAACATTTAAAATTCTTCTGCTCTGAAATACAGGTGAGCGATTCAGGCTCTTGAGAGCTTCTTGTTAGTTTTGTTACAGTATTGAAATGAAAAGTGGTAGAAACTATCATGCTATCAATTTCATTGATGAAATAATTATGAAATATAGATTCATATTTTGTTGAGGAAAATCACAAACTAAGTCCAGAAATGTAGAGAACCAGAAGTTCTGGATTTTGAAAAGTTAGACATAAATCTGCAATCCACACTTAAACTTATATGGATTAATTCGGGTTAAGTTTAGGATAAGATTAAGGCATAAATGAGGTGAAAGGTTGGACATAGGATAAGACTTTAGATGACAATAATTCACTGTAACTCCTTATTGTATGGATGTGATGGTACGCCAGGTTTGACTGTATTTTGTCTATTTTAGCTGTTCAGTGTCCCAGTATTTGTTTTAGTCACATCTACCATGGTAAGTACCTGACTTAGGAATACCATTGCCACAGGTATTTGGCAGATAACAAACCTGTATACTTATTTTAGGTATATCTGACATGGCCAGTACCTAACTGTAACGAGGGATGTCCATCATCATGGATTAAAGATGGCTACTGTGACAAGGCTTGTAACAACTCTGAATGTGAATGGGATGGTGGAGATTGTCATGGTCAGTTTATATAATAGATGTATTGTAGTATGTTTATTTACGTAGGTAGACCATTGACCTATTAAAGCTAATTATACACACTGTCTAGTGACGTAGAAGGTTGACTGTTGTGTATGCTCTTTTGTTTGTTTCTTTGTATTGGAAACTTCTCCTTAAGCATATACTTGATATTAATAAAACTATCACTTTTTGCCATGGACACTAATTTATGTTGTCCTTTAAGATCACTTGTGTTTAGCTTCCAGTTGCCAACATGAGCACAGTTTTGTTATCAAGATTAAAAGTGAAGGTTCTAGGTGACGAGGAGAAGGAAAAGAAACTTCTTGGAGAATATATCTTGAGTTCTATTTAAAAAGATTGATATGTTTACACATTATGACACTAGTTTTGAATAATTTGGCATTACATGAAGAAGTATTTATCTATCTTTTGGTGGTGTAAACTCTGCCTCTATTTAATGATATACTACTTTTATACAGGTAGTAATGTACAGGCAGGAGCAGGTCATTGGAGTGGTGGTGTTGGCTGGTATAATGATCAGAAAGGTAATATATATTACAACAGTCTCAAAATCAGATTGCTTGTTTTACAAGTAGAATTGTACTTGGTTTAGTATTTGAAATAACTGTTTCAAAAGTATTGATAGTATTTGAAATAAAAAGTTTCAGAAGTATTGATAGTATTGCTTTTGTTAAGAAGAATGTCAGATATTAAATTGTAAACAAATATGCATACATGACTTCTTATACGTTCAGGTATTTCACATCCATTTTTTATGGAAATATTCTTTATAAAGCACAAAAATGTCAGTATTCACCTCTGAAGCTAACAAAACCTTTAAATAGACTTATTAAGAAGGGATATAGTTACCATACTGTTGTCAGGTCATTAAAGATTGCATATTTTGGCATTAATATTGATTCACTTATAGGGTCTTTGCATCGGCACTAAACACATTTATTTAAAAACCAGTTGTTGGCATGACACGGGTTATGTTCTTCTCATATATGTTATGATGGTATGATACTAAACCCCTAACGGGAAGGATTGTGCCTGATATTCATATGATGAAGACATAATCTTTCAATCAGTTTAATTGAAGTCTGGAGCTGGCATGTCAGTTAACTGCTAGTAGTCTGTTGTTATTTATGTATTATTGTCATTTTGTTTATTTTCTTTGGTTACATCTTCTGACATCAGACTCAGACTTCTCTTGAACTGAATTTTAATGTGCGTATTGTTATGCGTTTACTTTTCTACATTGGCTAGAGGTATAGGGGGAGGGTTGAGATCTCATAAACATGTTTAACCCCGCCGCATTTTTGCGCCTGTCCCAAGTCAGGAGCCTCTAGCCTTTGTCAGTCTTGTATTATTTTTAATTTTAGTTTCTTGTGTACAATTTGGAGTTTAGTATGGCGTTCATTATCACTGAACTAGTAGATATATTTGTTTAGGGGCCAGCTGAAGGACGCCTCCGGGTGCGGGAATTTCTCGCTGCATTGAAGACCTGTTGGTGACCTTCTGCTGTTGTCTGTTCTATGGTCGGGTTGTTGTCTCTTTGACACATTCCCCATTTCCATTCTCAATTTTATAAGAGGACATTTTTTGCATGTTGAACTTTTTCCTCAGCATCAAGTTTTGAAGCGAAGACCGTATATGATAAACAACTGACTGCAAGAATTGAAATAATTATTTGAATGGAAAATAAGATTTGGGGAGAAAGAGTGACAGCAAGTACTTATTATTGACCCTTTTCTATTGTTTGTAGAACATTGTAATAAAGGATGTGCTGATTCTTGGCTGGCAGATAGATATTGTGATACTGTAAGTACATAAGGAATATTATAGGACTTTTTTCAAAATCCCACCCATATCAACCAGAGACATCAATATAAACCCAAGAGCTCTGCTGTGACAATTATATTGATTGAGGGTTGTTAAAAATGAAAAGCCAAACCATATACACTTTATTACATACCTCAAGTAGATGTTTTCATATGACATGACATTATACTGAATAGGTGTTTGATAAAGCTTTTGAAACCATGACTGATACCGTAAATTGGGTTATTTTGGTGGTAGTTTTATTTTGGTTTATTTGGTGCCTCCAATGAAAGTGCCAAAATTAAACACACGAAAATAAAGCAAACGCTAAAAATTGAAACGCCAAAATCGCGTACCGGTACGACAATATCGTAATGTTAATTGTTGGGGAAAATATTTGATGTTATTATATCTTCCGTATATTTCGTACAATTCTATACATAGCCAAATCTGCAAATAAATACCTGGTATAATTTGACAACAACACTATATAATTTTTACTTAATTGTCAATTTTCTGAAATTGTTAAGAAAATATAGCATGAATTTTTATTCACACATGTCATAAATATGCCAGGCTTTTGCTGATTAGACACCGTTATTGGTAATTAGAATATCAAAACTCCTTGTAATCCTTTATCTTCAATTAATTAACATGACTTTTGTACTGCCAGGGGCATAAGGATTAAAATTTAAATCCTTGATTGTCAATAGATTAACATGTACTGCAATAGAGATGATTAAAATTTATTTCATATGATATTTGTTAAAAATAAACAATCTATTTAAAAGGTGATTTTAATGTTTAAAATTTGATTTCATAACTTCTTTAAGCTTTGAACCACGATATACGGAATTATTTGCAATTGCATCCGTATCTGATTCCGATGCCTTCATTAGGTTCTCATTTGATAAATTCAATGATATGTTGTCAATAAACGGGTAAATAAAGACAAATATGAATGAGCTTGCTCACTACTGTTGTAACAAAATTAAAAATAACAATTGGACGAAGCCCCAAAATTACACACACCAAAATAAAACACATGCCTATCGAGAGAAAACCGCCAAAATATCCTGACGCCAAAATTTCCCAATTTACGGTATCGTTATCATCACGGATGGCTGATAAAACACCACTGCCAGTGATTGCACACACACAATTTACTTGTACTTACTACTAAGTACATAATAAGTGGCTTTACTGCATGACTTAATTGTCTTAAAACTTATATGTGAGGAAAATGTATTTGTAGACTGTTTAATAAATTATTATACCGCCATTCTAGGAGTGGAGGCTATATTGCAAGCACCTTGTCTGTATGTCCGTTCATCCAACACATATTTTCATCACACTTTTCTCAGGACAATTAAAGAGAATGACCAGAAGCTTGACATATATGAGTTGAACATGTGAGCAAATTCATATGTTAGACATCTACTTCCTATTTGTCAATACTTGAACTTTTCAGTATGTTGAATGAACTGAACATTTTTCGTCACATATTTCTCCAGTATTGCAGAACAGAAGCTCAATAGTGATTAGTTGTAGGGTGTGTTTGTTTTTTCAGATCTGTCAGACACTTACTTTCTGTTTTCTGATACTTTGAAATATGAAAGCTAACCATTCCCTTAGCACTGCAAGTTATGAATTCTTGTTATTTTTTACACTAGAGTTCTATCCTTCACTCCTTTACTATAGAAGAATGAAAAATAAATGCATAATTATATATGTTCTTCTGAAAAATAGTGAAGATGATTTATAAGGTTATTTTAGTGGCTTACGAGTAAACTGAAAAGTGAGGGGTGGGGGCAATTGTCCCCAGGCTCCTACGCCAGTGTTCTTAATATGTGCTTTTCTCTTTTTCTATAATTTCATAACAGTTGATAAGAATATAATAATCATAGTTTTAAAATTTTTAAATTTACAGACATGTAATGTAAAGCTGTGTGGTTTTGATGTTGGAGATTGTGGTACATCTAAATATGACCAACTTTTAGGCTATAAACTGGAGACCAGTGTTACAGAGTATATAGTACCAAAAGGTAGGATTCACTTTAATATCAATTTACAACTTATGTGACATGTACTATTTAAAAATCTTTGTATATATAGGTTGTTTATTCTTTTTGATTTGGATAATATTTGATTCAATAGGTCAACTTGCATGAAGAGCCATACTAGTCATAGTTAAAAATGTTTGTACATCATGTAATGTTATAAACTTTTCAATTTTATTCTTTTTGAAAGAATAGATTGGTTTGACACATAGCAAAAATATGGCAAGGTCAGTACAGTACCAATTCCAGTTTATTATTTTATTTTTTTTAATTTGTGGGTAGTTAAAGGGGGATGTTTATTTTATTAAGTCTCCCAAATGAAGTTTGGGAAGACTTATTGTTTTTGCTCAGTTATTATTATTCTTCTTCTTCTTCTTCTTCTTCTTCTTCTGCCGCTTTTAAATTTGAACTTGTCCGCACCCGTTTTCCAAAACCGCTTGTCTGATTAACTTAGGGTTTCACAATATGTTAGACTAACATGTCTAGTGGTGCAATCAGGGTTTTGTTTGTGCAATGGGGTTTATAAAGGGGTACTTTGAGGGGCAAAAAGAAAAGAGGGTTTTACTATAGAACCCTATGGGATTTTATTTTTTAAAATTTTAAAATTATTATAAATTGAAAACCGTTTGTGATAAACACAATCTTTTTAATTGAAAATGTTCTAAATGATAAAGCCCATTAAATGAAATACAGGGTTAGTCCCCAGGGGTCACCCCACCCCCTGCCATTTAAGAAAGTTCTAATACCTTGTAAGTGGTCAAGATCCCCACCCCTAAACCATATATATTCTGGTTTGTCATGCTAAGATGGTTTGAATGATATACAGGGTTAGTCCCCAGGGGTCATCCCGACCCCCTGCCATTTGAGAAAGTTCTAATATCTTGTAAATGGTCGAGATCCCCACCCCTAAACCATATATATTCTGGTTTGTCATGATAAAGCACATCAAATGAAATATAGGGTTAGTCCCCAGGGGTCACCCCCACCCCCTGCCGTTTAAGAAAGTTCTAATATCTTGTAAGTGGTCAAGATCCCCACCCCTAAACCATATATATTCTGGTTTGTCATGCTAAGATGGTTTGAATGATATACAGGGTTAGTCCCTAGGAGTCATCCCGACCCCCTGCCATTTGAGAAAGTTCTAATATCTTGTAAATGGTTGAGATCCCCACCCCTAAACCATTTATATTCCTATTTGTCATGTTTCGAACATTTGAATGATGTATATGGTCAGTCCCCATGGGGTTCCCCCCACCCCCAATGTTCTAATATCTTGTAAATGGTTGAGATCCCCACCCCTAAACCATATATATATTCTGGTTTTTCATGCCAACATGGTTTGAATGATATACAGGGTTAGTCCCCAGGGGTCATCCCGACCCCCTGCCATTTGAGAAAGTTCTTATATCTTGTAAATGGTCGAGATCCCCAACCCTAAACCATATATATTCTGGTTTGTCATGATAATGCACATCAAATGAAATACAGGGTTAGTCCCCAGGGGTCACCCCCACCCCCTGCCATTTAAGAAAGTTCAAATATCTTGTAAGTGGTCGAGATCCCCACCCCTAAACCATATATATTCTTGTTTTTCATGCCAACATGGTTTGAATGATATACAGGGTTAGTGCCCAGGGGTCATCCCGACCCCCTGCCATTTGAGAAAGTTCTAATATCTTGTAAATGGTCGCGATCCCCACCCCTACACCATATATATTCTGGTTTGTCATGATAATGCACATCAAATGAAATACATGGTTAGTCCCCAGGGGTCACCCCCACCCCCTGCCATTTAAGAAAGTTCTAATATCTTGTAAGTGGTCAAGATCCCCACCCCTAAACCATATATTTTCTGGTTTGTCATGCTAAGATGGTTTGAATGATATACAGGGTTAGTCCCCAGGGGTCATCCCAACCCCCTGCCATTTGAGAAAGTTCTAATATCTTGTAAATGGTTGAGATCCCCACCCCTAAACCATATATATTCCTATTTGTCATGTCTCGAGCATTTGAATGATGTATACGGTCAGTCCCCAGGGGTTCCCCCCACCCCCAATGTTCTAATATCTTTTAAATGGTTGAGATCCCCACCCCTAAACCATATATATTCCTGTTCGTCATGTAACGAACATTTGAATGACGTATAGGGTCAGTCCCCAGCATCCTGTTACAATCATTTCTTGTCTATTATGCAATTCTCATTCTGAAATTTTTGCGATGTATTTTTGTTGCGAAATTGTGAAGGGAAATGGTTTGCAAAAAAAACAAACTCATACTTTGATATTGTAACATTGTTTGAATTCAGTATTTCCTGAATTTGTAAAAATCAATTTTGTATTGTTTTATTGTTCAACAAGCATAATATTAAACATGATAAATGCACATATATATTTTCGAATTTACAGTCCAAGAACTTTCACCATAGTATTGATTCATTGCATATGTCCTTAAATTTGAGAATTTTACCATGATTTAAAAATTAAGGTGACATCATCATTTAAACTAAATTGTACATTTGAAATCGATATATATCAGCTCCACACATACAAGTTGAAGAATCCTTTAGGTGTCAGTTTGAATTATACATATAAATTATAGGTAATAAATTTTGGCCTGGTTGTAGGAAGTCCAAAACCAGCTCATAGTATGTTGATGTTGGGGTGGGGGGATGGGTACCTGATATGTGTAATCAACTCCTCCTACAGTTTATAACCCAGATCCCTGAAACTTCAAAGGAAGATTGCACATATGTTGAATTTGTGCACCTTGAAATATTTGAGGAATTTTTTCATAACTTTTTTCAGACTTGGGAACTTAGTCTTTTTTCATCAAAATTAAATAAAGAGGGTACTAGCTTTCAGAGCTCAAGATAAGAATTCACAAATTGGGGTTTTTACCCACCATTTTTTTATGTAATTGGGTGATAAAGTTTTTAAATTGCATTATCAATTCCAATTCACCCCTCAAGCAAATATCAAATTGGGTTTTTCACCACCAAGCTCCTTAATGTATTGGGTTTTTTCATCAACACGAAATTGAATGTTTAGGCATGTTATAATCACATTATATCAACCCCATGCAGATGTTTTTCCATCTTAAATGTGTTTCTTTCTTTGTATATATGCTAGCTGTTTTATTTGGTTTATTCACTGACGAGCAATTGTACGTTTAATTTGTGTCCCGTTTTAAACGTTCTGCCAGTTTTGTATTTTCTCACAACTTATATAAACTGCAGCTGGTGTCACTAGTTGGACAGTTACTAATTACCTTTCTAGATCCCATATGATCACCCTACAGTTTAGTTGGGGTAGGCGTGGCTAAGTGTTTAGATTTTTATGTAATATATGTGAAATTTAGGTGCTGTAAGAAAGTTTTGCCAGTCCTTTCACCTATTTGCCAGATCTGCTTTTTAATAAAAATAATAAGTAGTTTCCAGATTTAAGATATACCCCAAAACCTTGACCAGGTTTATAGGTTTAATGACGGAGACCACATTCAACTTAAATTTACAGAGTTAAATTTACAAATAATTCTGCAACATCAAATAAATAAATGACAATGTTAAACTGCACTTGCCAATAAGACAACTATCATAAGCATACAGAACAATAAGACCAAAACAAAGAAAGTGTCAAGATGCATTGACGTAAAAAACGGATATGTGTATTCACTCATCAACTAAAATGAAAAAAATAATATATAAACTAAAATTATACTTGAATGTTTTTGTTTAATTTAATTTACATAAATCTTGGTTAAGTTGTCCCAGCTGATTAGAACTTTTGGTTTCTGATGCTTTCCAACTACATATATCATGTCATAATTGATTTGGCCTTTCACTTTTTCCAACTGATTTCGTTCTTGACAAAACCCCGTGTTTATCGTTCTAGCAATGTTCTCGTTAAGGTACGCAAACGGGTCTTGTTATCATCATAATAACTTTCCCTAAAGTATCTAAAAGAAGCTGAAAACATGCTTCTATTCAATATTTTTATCGGTTATATACTTTCGTATTAATTCATTGTATGTTATGATAAATCCCGAGTAATTCGAAAAAAATATGACAACAAGACAAACGCTAATTTGATAAACGCTGAGAAGATCGAAATGTTTTCATAAACACGTGTACCTTTTGAGCAACGGAAAATTCCATCAGGGACCCATTTCGGCTACTTGATGTAGGGCTCTATTTTTATAACGAAAGGACATTTCCAATTATAAATATTATAAAAATAGATTTACGCGACAACTGTAATCAGATAAGGGTAAATAACGCAAACGTTAGCGAATAAAAGCGTTAAGAACTCATGGTTTTGGCATATAATTGGGTTTTCCTTTGAATTAATTGGGTTTTTGAACCCTGCAATGGGCAATTGCATTGGGTTTATAATTATTTGTATTGCGTGATCACGCAAATACGCAGCTTATCTGGAGCTCTGACCTTTATGTAATTAATTCCTACAGTTTTCATCCCAGATCCCTTAAACTTCACAAGAAAATTGCACATATATTGAAGTTGTGCACCTGTTTTGGAAATATTTGAGAGATTTTTATATTTCATATTTCAAGTATTTCAATGTTCAGTATAGAGCATTCTCCATTGTTTTAGAAACATTCTGCAGAACCTGGAGATTTGGTTCTTTGATTTATGTTTTATTGGTTTTAGGTGAGATAATTGTGTACTTTAACATGACAACCTTGATGACAGACAAAGGAAGTGTTGAATCAGCAGAATATGAAAAATCATCTGTTGTCAAGGCAATAGCTGTAGCTAACAAGTTCAAAGTCATCACCATGGTGTTTAATAAAGGTCACAATGCCACCAAACTCCACATTCATCTAAAAGGGCACTACGCAAATGCTACACAGAAATTCCAGGTTAATAATTAACATTATCTCTTTAGTATATGTGTAAAAGAATTGACCTTCCTTTTGAAGAATGTCAAGCAGTCTAAGCTTCAAGAGTTTTCATTTGATACAGCTGAAATCATACAAATGTTTACCAAAATTGTTGTACATGGTCAGTACTATTTTTACCTTAGGTTTTAACAATGAGCAAAACTCACACTGCCTAGTCAGCTGTAAAAGGCCTCAAAATGACAAAATGTGAAACAGTTCAAATGAGAAAACCAAAAGCCTGATTTATGCTAAAATGATAAAAGAAAAACAAATTTGGCAAACTGCAACCAATAACTACCACTGAATTACAGGCCTCGACTGGGAACAGGCACAAAAAGAAAGCGACAGGATTATACATGTTTGTGAGTACTCTTCCCTCCCTTAACTTAGGAGAATGGTGTAACAGCACAACATAAAAACAAACTGTAAGTCATTATTACTGACAGTTATTGTATATCATTCATTATATTGTACCTTATTCATTCCAGTATAATTTTACTGTGATGGTAGATACCATACAAGAAAATAAAACCTTGGAAGTGGTACAGACTATAGATAAAGTAAATATAACAGCTAATGTTACTGTGGAGAAAGAGATTGAACTACCAGTGGTGTATGAAGTAGCAGAGGAACTTATGTAAGTGTTATAGGTATTGGTCTAGTTGTTTTGTAGGTAGGGGTATACTATATATTTATATCAAACTGGAGTGAAATATCACGTCTTATCCTGCAATTTGATTGGTCACCTTGACAAGGAATATGAGCCCATATCCCCTGCGAAGAAAAATGGAAGATAAGGATGGTAAATAATGTTGAAATCAGGACACCCCAGTATATGTCATTCAGGCTTCACAGGGGATTTATAACACTGACATGGAATATGAGGCCATTCCCCTGTGAAGATCCCGAATTATATACAATGTATCCCATATCAGAGCAACTGATCCTGAGGTTTTATGAACTTGGTGAGGTAATGGTTTTTATTGAGTAGTTAGAGAAGGCAGTGGAGAAAGTATAAATAGAAATAAGAATGATGTGTGATAGGTTGATTGATGACTGCTTAATGACCACTCAAAGTTATTACATGCATATACAGGACAATAACATTAATGAGATATGAATATTTTCTGCTTTGTAATAGACAGACATGCTGAGTCAGATCTTAAGGGCATACGATACAGTTACAGGGGAGGTAAGGACATCGCAAACGTAAAATGTTATTTTTCTCGACGTCAAACTGTGACATATCGGGAAAAGATTTTTATCATTCAGACTGATTTAACTTGAAAACGAGTTCATGGACTTCTCTTTTTAAATATGACATTAGGCTTGATTATGTGTAAAGATTATTTGTGCCAATTTTTTAGAACAAATTATTAATGATTTTTTTAATTGAATAAATATACAGCAAGAAATACCATTTTTTGACTAAAATCAGGAAAATGTGATAAAAAAGAATTATTTCCAAAGAATTGTTACACAAATTCAAAGCACATTTATGTAGAGAAGGTATTCCAAATATTTTTACAAAAATTCGCTTGCGTTTATCTTTTAAAACAAAGCAGTTAGGTATCTCTTTCCAAAGGATAGAAATGTAAAAAAAAAAAACGAAATTTCCAGTAAATGTCCAAAATTTTGACCCCATTTATTTCTAAAAGTAGCACATGAAGGTGTATTTTTATGCCCCACCTACGATAGTCCCAATCAGGATCAAACCCATGACCTCCTGCATTAAGGTGAGGACGTTGCCACTGTATGAAGTATTGGAGCTACTATTATGTATTATTAGCTCCCCTGACCCACTTTGCATCTGTCTGTTCATCTGTCTTTTAATAATTTCCATTTTCATCATCTTCTGTAAAACCACCAAAGCAAGATAAACAACTTTTGAAAAATTTATGGAAAGACCTACCCCGGTATATCAAATTTCTTCATTTCTTTATGATTCGGATTGGCCAACTTTCAAAAATCTTTTTCTCTGAAACTGTAATTAAAATGTTTAAAAATTTGATAGATTAATTATCTGAGGACCCAATACAAAATATTTTCATTTAATGTTAATGGTGTGGCTAACCTGGTTGATTCTGATTGACCAATTTTCAAAAATCTGTTTTCTGAAACTTCACGTAAAATGTTTTAAACTTTGGAGAATTAATGGTTTGAAGACTTTAATTGGGTTTTAATATTGATAGTGGGGTAGTAAGGGGGGGGGGAGGTGCTAACATGATGGCATTAGTGTTACAAATTTCCCATGTAATGCCTTTGGAAAATCACTAAATCATCTTTTCCTCTGAATCTACTTCACCAGTTTTATTCAAACATTGTCATGATGATTTATGGAAGGTTATGATCAGAGGAAAAACATGATCATCAGAGGCAATCTTTGATTATGAATGACCAATTCTCATAATCACCTGAAAAATATTTTGAAAGTTAAGGGGATTAATAGAAAAACCATCTGAAGTTAAATATTCCTTTAGTTAACTTCTTTTGAGCAGTTTTAGGTGTAAATTGGCTATGTGAGTGATACTGGCAACTGTATATGCTACATAAGTAAGTGACCTTGATGTAAAAAGTACAGTACTAGTGTACTAAGGGGTGTGCAGAAAATATTGTTGAGGCAAAACATAGTGAAAAGTACCATAAGTTGCACAAGTTTGTAGGTTTACTTTAAGTCACTTCATTCATTTCAAGAAGGATTTATTTTATTGTGGGATGTTTTTTTGATTTCAGACAAGTGAAACCAAAACCAGTAGATCACAAGACCTTACCAGAACATGTTAACCTCACAAATGTAGATCTACCAGAATTCATCAAGTTACAGTATGAAGCTCTGTTAAAGGAGGAAAAGGAGGGTAAATTATTTTGTGCATTATGCAATAAGTCCCATGATCAACTTGATAAAATTTGTTATGCTGGATAAAAGACTCATATATAATTTACAGTAATACAAAAAGCACCATTTCAGCTGAAACATAATGTTCATATGAATAAAACATGTTTGTTTCTATTTAGTTGATATTAAGTCACAGTTCAATTTCGATCTTATAACCGTCTTTTCATGGAATGTGGAGTCCTTCCATTATATTTGCAGGTGGGCGCACTCTTGTCAGTCCATACTTCTACTAATTTCATTTTAAACATATTTTAAAACAGAGTTGTCAAACATTGTAAACATTTTCATTCAGGAAAATGAAAAGTAATGTTACCATTTTTACACTAGATGTACAATTTAAATTAAAAATATTGTACAAAAAGAGGTAATGGGTGACTGCACATTACAAAATGAAAACACTTTTTATAAATACTTGCAATTTTACCAATTTGTTTTGATAGGTGATATTACAGAGAAAGGTTTTAGGATTGAACAGATGACACTGTGGCTGAAGTATCAGGAATATTTGAGAAACCCTCCAAAGAATGATACCACAGTAACTAAAATAGCTGTCAGAAAATTACTTAGCTTTGTTGATGTTCCTATTCTTGAAATGAATCAGAAAGAAAAGCTTCAAGTCCATAGTAAAAATGATGATTCATACCAGACATTAGATGACATTCTGAAATCAGGAGGAAGATATACAGATGAAGGGCATTTTCCATGGGAAGAGAAAAATGTATTTGGTAAATTTGAAAAGGTAGGATTATTAAAGTTATTTTATTAAATGATTTTTGTGGTATTCATTTGCATGATAAATGTCTATATCAAACATCACATTGTCCTAGATTGTCATGAAATATTTCATCTAGATGTAAAACAACCAACAATTATTAAAGCTGCTATGATATGACATATGATGATATGTTAATGTTTATGTTTTATAAGGTTATAGGCAATATTTTCAAATTTCAGTCAAATTGAGATATTGTGAGAGAAGTCAGAGAAATGAAAATTAAAAAAAAAAAATGGATATTGGCAAATTTTCTATTTACTATTCAACATTCACTTTTTCAGATGAGGAGAAAAGAGACCATACAGAAACAATATACAGAGGATATTTACTCTCCTAGAAGGAAACTTTTAGATACATTTGGTGATTCTCTACGTCATGTCAATAAAATCTTCAACAGAGAGTTTGGATTTACTGCTAGAAAAGTTCCTGGACATATGCCACACTTTGTTGATAGATCTATCATGTATGAACTTCATGAAAGGTTTGTACAGAAATAAATGGTGATTCTTTTAATTTGCATTTAGCTCTTCGTAGCCCACTTTGTGGCAATTTAATTTCACAGTTTTCAAATTTACTTGATGTAATTAAAGAAGGAATGATTCACATTTTACATGTTTGTGATGATTTATATTTGCTTTATTTTTCTACTTGTGAAAGACGAAAATAAATCACTTGCAAAAATTAGTTGGTATGCTGAAGGAGAACAGAAACATAAAGTAAATGTATGTGAAATTGTAATGTTTTTATGAAATCGTAAGTAATAAAAAAAACAAATTCAGATTTCGGTATGCTTGTTTTGAATAAAAATAATATTTTTTATATTTTTTGCTTCATTTACTGTACATATATGGATTTGCCTTCATCCATAATGCTTCCAGATGATAGTAACTGATTTATTTTTGGTAATAAAAAATTCAAAGAAGTCAGTTAACATATACACATGTAATTATTGAATGTGATTGAGAACATCAATCCTCTGAATTAAATGAAAATCGGAAAAAAATCTCTATTAATACCAAATAATAAAAGTAACCAAAAGTACAAAAATTAAAATACAGAATGCCACTGTGCAGTACCATTAAAACATACATGGTACTTAAGAAAGGGACTTTGAAAATGGGTAAGCCTTCAATAGAGGTAATTTTAGAATTTCTCCTACACTTTCACTATACAAAAAAGAGATTTTTAAGCAACTTCACTGGGTCCAATGTATGTTTTTATGGATTGGCCATTAAAATATAGAAATAAGCAAATACAAAATTATCAGAGCAAAATTATAATTCCTATATCTAACCATCATCATAGGTTTGGTTTCTGTTACATAAAGTTACATAATTGAAAGAAATGAAATGTCACTTTGATTTCCCATAAATTCACCAAGGAAAAAACATAAAGTATGTTGTTCTATTAATAGACAAATTTTCTACTACATAAAGAAGTAGTTCATCTTTATTATAAAAAGATGACTGGTATGATATGTAATGTAATTATGATTTTCTCTTTAAAGTTTCCAGAAGAATGGGATATCACATCTTCACATAGCGTTCGTAGTTCTGATGACATGTAATGTAACTATGATTTTCTCTTTAAGGTTTCCAGAAGAGTGGGATATCACATCTTCACATAAAGTTCGTATTTCTGATGACATGTAATGTAACAATGATTTTCTCTTTAAGGTTTCCAGAAGAATGGGATATCACATCTTCACATAGCGTTTGTAGTTCTGATGACATGTAATGTAACTATGATTTTCTGTTTAAGGTTTCCAGATGAGTGGGATATCACATCTTCACATAAAGTTCGTAGTTCTGATGACATGTAATGTAACAATGATTTTCTCTTTAAGGTTTCCAGAAGAATGGGATATCACATCTTCACATAAAGTTTGTAGTTCTGATGACATGTAATGTAACTATGATTTTCTCTTTAAGGTTTCCAGAAGAGTGGGATATCACATCTTCACATAGCGTTCGTAGTTCTGATGACATGTAATGTAACTATGATTTTCTTTTGAAGGTTTCCAGTAGAGTGGGATACCACATCTTCACATAGCGTTCGTAGTTCTGATGACATGTAATGTAACTATGATTTTCTCTTTAAGGTTTCCAGAAGAGTGGGATATCACATCTTCACATAGCGTTCGTAGTTCTGATGACATGTAATGTAACTATGATTTTCTTTTTAAGGTTTCCAGAAGAGTGGGATACCACATCTTCACATAGCGTTCGTAGTTCTGATGACATGTAATGTAACTATGATTTTCTCTTTAAGGTTTCCAGAAGAGTGGGATATCACATCATCACATAAAGCTCGTAGTTCTGATGACATGTAATGTAACAATGATTTTCTCTTTAAGGTTTCCAGAAGAGTGGGATATCACATCTTCACATAAAGTTCGTATTTCTGATGACATGTAATGTAACAATGATTTTCTCTTTAAGGTTTCCAGAAGAATGGGATATCACATCTTCACATAGCGTTCGTAGTTCTGATGACATGTAATGTAACTATGATTTTCTCTTTAATGTTTCCAGAAGAGTGGGATATCACATCATCACATAAAGCTCATAGTTCTGATGACATGTAATGTAACAATGATTTTCTCTTTAAGGTTTCCAGAAGAATGGGATATCACATCTTCACATAAAGTTTGTAGTTCTGATGACATGTAATGTAACTATGATTTTCTCTTTAAGGTTTCCAGAAGAGTGGGATATCACATCTTCACATAGCGTTCGTAGTTCTGATGACATGTAATGTAACTATGATTTTCTTTTGAAGGTTTCCAGTAGAGTGGGATACCACATCTTCACATAGCGTTCGTAGTTCTGATGACATGTAATGTAACTATGATTTTCTCTTTAAGGTTTCCAGAAGAGTGGGATATCACATCTTCACATAGCGTTCGTAGTTCTGATGACATGTAATGTAACTATGATTTTCTTTTTAAGGTTTCCAGAAGAGTGGGATACCACATCTTCACATAGCGTTCGTAGTTCTGATGACATGTAATGTAACTATGATTTTCTCTTTAAGGTTTCCAGAAGAGTGGGATATCACATCATCACATAAAGCTCGTAGTTCTGATGACATGTAATGTAACAATGATTTTCTCTTTAAGGTTTCCAGAAGAGTGGGATATCACATCTTCACATAAAGTTCGTATTTCTGATGACATGTAATGTAACAATGATTTTCTCTTTAAGGTTTCCAGAAGAATGGGATATCACATCTTCACATAGCGTTCGTAGTTCTGATGACATGTAATGTAACTATGATTTTCTCTTTAATGTTTCCAGAAGAGTGGGATATCACATCATCACATAAAGCTCATAGTTCTGATGACATGTAATGTAACAATGATTTTCTCTTTAAGGTTTCCAGAAGAGTGGGATATCACATCTTCACATAAAGTTCCTATTTCTGATGACATATAATGTAACAATGATTTTCTCTTTAAGGTTTCCAGAAGAATGGGATATCACATCTTCACATAGCGTTCGTAGTTCTGATGACATGTAATGTAACTATAATTTTCTCTTTAAGGTTTCCAGAAGAGTGGGATATCACATCTTCACATAAAGTTCGTAGTTCTGATGACATGCAGTTTGCTTTCTCATATTATTATTATATGATGGGAGTTACACGTAATGTGACAGCAAAAGAAATCTTTGATGAGATGGATACAGATAAGTCACGGTAATCCTCCTTTTTTTTTTTTAAGTTTTTACTTTTACTTTTACTTTTTTGTATTGTATTTTGAAATTAATGTCAATGTTTATTTGAAACATGCACATGTAAAAATGCAAGTTTATTTATTTATTTTAATGTTTCCAACAAAACTGATTGTCACACTTTACACAAATTACTATATAGGACCCCCCCCCCCCCCCCCCCCCCCCCGAAAAAAATGAAAAACACTATGTACGGTAACAACTATATTTTTGAGATTATTTATAAATTGTATGTATATATGATTTGTATTCGTCGCCTTTCTTATGAGCAACACCATGAGATATGCGCAAAAGAGGACATTTTTAACACTGTATTAACACAGATTAATATGAGCATTTGCCTATCAAGTTCCCCATTCCGGCTGTGATGATCTTTTAACAGAAATTTTCTTATGGTAACAATTGATCACTTTGAAGTACCAGTATATATTTTTCTAAAACTGTCATAAATGAAATTTTTTTTTAAACGATGAATAGATTATTAACCTGGAAATTTTTCTCTTTCCAGAACTTTATCAGATCGGGAGATTAGGACATTAGCAGCTTCACTTTACGACTTACCGTTGGATTTAAAAGTAAGTTTACATTCTATTATGAATTTTTTGTTGAATAGAATTATTATTTAGATAATTTTGTTTAATTGAAGTAATAGTGTAATGTTACTGGATTTTTTACTCATCTTTCCTAGCGTTTCTTAGATTAAGGAAAATAATAATATAAGTTCATATATTGTAATATGCTGCATAGGTAGTTATATCAATATGACAAAAACAGTGGTTCATAGACATAAGAGATTAGTATTATGATATAGAATACAGCTATGAAGTACATTTTTAGCACCAAGTGTAATAACACATTTTTGCCTTTTTTGTGTATGATAAATATAGATTCCACCACTGCATCAAGTGTGTTACGATATTTCTCAACTCAAGACAGTTAAATTTTTAAATTTAATATGCGAGGCTTGCAAAGCTTTTTAAATATTTAAAATTCAACTGTTGAGAGTGAAGAAATATCATAATACACGAGATATAGTGGTGGAATCGGTTTCTCTAATGATTTGTAGATAATATCTAAACAAAGTTTTTCCTTCCTTATCAAAGATTTGCAGAAAGTTGTGTTCTTTATATGTAACGACATCAGACATGGTTGCCTTTTTTCATGGTGTCACAATAGGAAATTTAGAAGAAATCAGGAAAATTTTACGTCATAATTGAATTTCGATAAATCATTTGCTGAGAACAAAGTTATCTCTAGAGATGAGAAATATTTTTCTCACACCGATCAAGAAATGTGAAAATAGCTTGTAAATTAGAGAACTTTCCATATCAACCTACTTGACTGAGAATGTTTTATCTCAGTAGAGTAAGAACACTCTGATATCATAAGTCATTGACATTGCCAAGGAAAATAGCGTTAAACAGATTATCTATGATCTTTCAACTCAAGGAATTTTCTTGGGCTACATCTCATCCAATCTTAAGTCATTTTGGTTTCCTTTATTTCATAAAAAAATAATTATTGTGTTTAGATTTTCCTTTCAGAATCTTAGGGTTTTCTGAAAACAGAGAAAGGGTAAAAATGTCACTGGTTTAGACATCCCTTGATTGAGCTGTTGTTATAATCCATATCATATAATTATGAAATGAATTAAATTAAATTTTAAATTTATTGAAATTCATTACACCTGAAAATAAAAGATGACCTGTGAAGCAAGGATTTTGAGTTGAAGTAAGTGTGCAAGATGTAAAAACTTAGACTTGACCATATCTCAAAACAAAATGTGTTTAATACTGTTCCTGAACCTTGTAACCAGATCAAGACTGCCTAATGTTTTACTGTGGTGTAAAAAGACTCCTTAAGACTCTTAAACATGCTTCCATTTGATTTTCTTTTATTATTGGTATAATAATTTCAGAAAATAATGATTTGCTTTATACTTGTAGACATTGAGTGGATTAGAGAACGTTTTAAAGAATTGTTCTGAATACCTGCCAGATGAGAAAAAGATTGAAAGACCACCTCCTTCTGAGTTAGAAACGTATTATGACAAAGATATGGTTGGTTTTTAATTATTTCTTTTCTGAATTTTTTCCAGATCAATATGGTTTATCAAAACTTAATACAGTTTTCTCATTTAATAATAGAAAGGAGAACAAATATTTTCTTATTTTATTGCTGATAAAACAACCAGGCCTTAAGGGACATAAATAGGTATTAAATTTTAAATGCCAGTAAGCCTTTTCTTTTAATTTGTGATTTACATGAAAAGTTTTCAAATCTGGTTTTAAAGGACATTTATAAAAGTGTAAAAAATAATTGCATAAACTTAACAATCTTATATAACTTTAGATTCCTGGAATTTTGCATCTCCTTTTATTTCCAATTATCAAAGACATTGTACTTTATCGAAGACAATGTACTTTATCAAAAACAATGTACTTTATCAAAGACCAAGTACTTTATCAAAGACAATGTACTTATTAAAGACAATGTACTTTAATAAAGACAATGTACGTTATTTTTAAAAGACAATGTACTTTATCCTAGACAATGTACTTTAACATAGACAATGTACTTAATCATAGACAATGTACTAAACTTCAAGGGTCTAAGTCAAAACATCCTGGTAAGTTTTGGGGAATTCTCTTTAAATGACCTTTAAAGTTTCCAGTGAGTATTTTCTAGTTAATGAAGGGTTAATCAGAAGTAAAATGTTTTGATGTCCTAAAACCTACCATTTCTTTCATATGAAAGAAAAATACATTTTATTGATTTCATGATTTTGAGTACTGTATTACTTTTATTTTAGCCACAAGCTACAAGGACTTTATTCCTCAACTGTGATGAAATGGTGGAATTAATCCAGTCAAAGTACAAATCGAGACAAAAACATAAGTATGTATTATAACATCTTATTTCTTATGATATCAGAATAATTTATCTAGACACTGCATTTCACTTGTAAGTCTATAAATAAGACATTTTACAGAGGCTGACAATTCATAAGTGTAGAACTTGTGTCTGATCCATCTGAATAAATTATTATGACAATAAAATATGTTCCAACTGTCTGACAGAACAAGGAAAAGGGTGCTTATCTTAAAGAAAATGAAATGACAAATAAAAAGTTGATTTAATGGTTGAATGATTGATTAATTGTTGGTGTTAAACACCACTTACCACACTCTTAAACAGTTATATCATGGCAGCCAGTTTGTGTTGGTGGAGGAAGCTGCAGTACAACCCTAGGCAGGAAAACTTGCAATCCAAGTCTAATAAGATCTGAGTAGAACACACCTTGACACAAGCATGGTCCAAACTCTCAACCTCAGTGTTGATGGACTATTGATCACTAACAAACTTATTAGAACACTTGGCCACTGAGCTTGGTTGAATAAAGTAACTACAAATGTACTGTAAAAATGTACTAAGTCATCACTATATTATCTGTATTCACTCTACACATTTTAGATATATTTTCATAAGAAACATAAATGTAGATGGATTTGATAAAGTTATTCAGTTACATATAGATTTAAGAAGGATTTTTGAATAAAATACATTCTGCTATTAATTGAGAACTAAAATTTACATTACAGATTTGTAACACTGGAGGATCAAGAAATAGCATTTAAAATGATAAAAAGTAACATATCTACTGTTGTTGGACAACTTGATGATCTGCGTAAAAATCCTAAGTATGTTTTTTTATATTATGAATGATGACAATCTTTACACCTATTCTTGTAAATAAAACTTTTGTGCTGTAATCACAAATGACACATTAAGGGCTGTTCCATAAAAACATATGGGACCCAGGGAAGGCACTTCCAAATCTCAACTATATGGATGGGTGTCATCTATGTTTTTGCATAGTGGAAATGTAAGTGAATATTTTAAAATTTGCCTCTATAGGTGGTTACCCCATTTTTAAAGTGCCTTCCCAGGGTACCATGTATGTTTTAATGGAACACCCTAAGCTTACAAGCATACCAAAATTGATAATTAGAAGTTATCCTGCTATCAAACAATGAATGAGTGGCCACACCATGTAGTAACCTTAAAGTGGCCACACCATGTAGTAACCTTTAAATCTCCATGAATCTTGACAAGTTGCCGAAGAATTCAGCAAATACAACAGAAAAATCAGAATTTATTATCAAATCTGTAGATTTATTAAAGATATTAAGATTTACCATTAAGATTCCTGACTTTTAACAGACATATATAATGTTGAATTTTGTGACATTTCAGCCCTTCTATTACTTCAGTAGGTAATAAAACCAATGCTAAAATGAAAGATATACCTTAAAGGGCATTCCATATTAGTACTAATTATGAAAATATACAAGAAACATTACAATGTACATTATACAATAATTGTTTTGTCTTGAATAAGAATAACTTATAATTAACATGTATCATTACGACTATGAAATATCAAGAATTCTTTGTAAATAATTGAACAAAACATGTATCTCTATTGAACAAAACAAATCTGTGTCCGTTATCAAGGTCTGTTTTGAAATGTTTGTATAGTTTGTAAGATAGGGTTATTCAGACAGGACCAATCTGATTAAAATAAAGATCATGTGACAATGCTTTGCTCACCAGGATCTATTATTATTATTATTATCTGACAATGCTTCTTACTACTTTCTGTTTTAAAATCCTGTTGGGATCTTTTTGTGTCATAATTATGCACACCTTCAAAAATTTGGAGGCATACATTTCATTGGCTGATGTAATAGCAACCAGAAGAGTAAGTAGAGTGGAATGTTGTCAGATCCTTGTCACATGATCTGTATTTTAATTGTATTTTAATCAGATTTGAACAGGACCAACTTTAAAGGTTGGTGATATTTGTATGCTGTTATATTACCATCAATTCATACAAGTCAGTTTAAGAGGAACTAGTTTTTATAAGTCACTTTTATTTTGATATTGTAGTTTCAGTAATACAGATACCTCCTAATTTCCAACAAACTGTTAGAATGGACCATTCAGTCATTACCCAATTATTTTGATTGTTCAGAGTCATCTTCTGTGATGAGTTGAATATAAAGAGCAAGTGAAAATTTCCTATCCACTTTTCATGCACATCACATGTACTTTAACTATCAAATCGCTGTTTTTTTTTAGTTCTGCTTAAAAGCAAGAAAAATAACCTTGAACTTTACATTAGATTTTGTTTGATAAAACCGATCAATGTTTTAAATAATGACCCTGTTATTATGATCATGTGACATGAACATTGTGCAAATGCCAAGATGGATAGGTAGATGTGGTACTTTGTCAACATCCCAATTTTCATCATTTCTGTCATTTTTCTAAAATCTGCACGGTGCTGTCGATTTAATGCTTTTTGAAAAAGTTTGACAATTAATTCATGAAGGTTATTGACTTACCGTAGGGACTTAGATTTTTTCCATCTATCAAACATACAGCTATGATTTATTTTTCTAATTTCAGGAAGTTTATATGTTTAAATGACAACATAGAACACAATAAACCTGATGCACAAACAGTATGTATAATCTATCATAGAACACAATAAACCTGATGTACACACAGTATGTATAATCTAACATAGAACACAATAAACCTGATGCTCAAACAGTATGTATAATCTAACATAGAACACAATAAACCTGATGCACACACAGTATGTATAATCTAACACAGAACACAATAAACCTGATGCACAAACAGTATGTATAATCTAACATAGAACACAATAAACCTGATGTACAAATAGTATGTATAATCTAACATTGAACACAATAAACCTGATGCACACACAGTATGTATAATCTAACATAGAACACAATAAACCTGATGCACAAACCTTATGTATAATCTAACACAGAACACAATAAACCTGATGCACAAACAGTGTGTATAATCTAACATAGAACACAATAAACCTGATGCACAAACAGTATGTATAATCTAACATAGAACACAATAAACCTGATGCACAAACCTTATGTATAATCTAACACAGAACACAATAAACCTGATGCACAAACAGTGTGTATAATCTAACATAGAACACAATAAACCTGATGCACACACAGTATGTATAATCTAACAGAACACAATAAACCTGATGCACAAATCTTATGTATAATCTAACAGAACACAATAAACCTGATGCACAGACAGTATGTATAACCTTTTTTTTAATACTTACTTATAAGTATGGTGAGACTGTTTCTCTAAGGAACATTAACAGTGTATTCAGAATATCATGAACATACTTAAAAAAAATATTAGGCTTCCTACAACATTATTTTAGTACATGCTTGTTTCTCTATATTCCTCTTAATCAGCTCTCAGCTATAAATATATAAATAGATGTTTATTGTTTATAAGTATTAGGGAAGATGATTTATCATGTTATAAAATTTTCAAGGTGAAATACAAGAATTTGTGCACTTTCCCCTACATTTTCTGTGTCACAATGCTTATGTTGTTACATCACAGTAAGAACCGAATGAACGATTGTTCATTGACGTCATTTACACAGATTGACCTCATTCATAAAAATACCAAATTGTGATTAGTGTATAGAACCAAGAGGTTGAAACACCAGACAGCAAAAGAGTTTTTGAAGATAGCAGGATTAATATTGCCTAGCTTCAAGGGCTATAAAACATTTATTGTCTCTTTCTGTAACACATTGAAGACATAACAGATAAATCTATGTGTATGATGTATATTAATATTTCTTTGTTTCTGTCTTCTGGTGAAAGCTATATTACAAGATTATTATGAGTCAGTACTGCCTATCCAGTCTCAGTTTGTTTCTATCTTCAGGTGAAAGCTATACTACAAGATTGTTATGAGTCAGTACTGCCTATCCAGTCTCAATTTGTTTCTGTCTTCAGGTGAAAGCTATACTACAAGATTATTATGAGTCAGTACTGCCTATCCAGTCTCAGTTTGTTTCTATCTTCAGGTGAAAGCTATACTACAAGATTATTATGAGTCAGTACTGCCTATCCAGTCTCAGTTTGTTTCTATCTTCAGGTGAAAGCTATACTACAAGATTATTATGAGTCAGTACTGCCTATCCAGTCTCAGTTTGTTTCTATCTTCAGGTGAAAGCTATACTACAAGATTATTATGAGTCAGTACTGCCTATCCAGTCTCAGTTTGTTTCTATCTTCAGGTGAAAGCTATACTACAAGATTATTATGAGTCAGTACTGCCTATCCAGTCTCAGTTTGTTTCTATCTTCAGGTGAAAGCTATACTACAAGATTATTATGAGTCAGTACTGCCTATCCAGTCTCAATTTGTTTCTATCTTCAGGTGAAAGCTATACTACAAGATTATTATGAGTCAGTACTGCCTATCCAGTCTCAATTTGTTTCTATCTTCAGGTGAAAGCTATACTACAAGATTATTATGAGTCAGTACTGCCTATCCAGTCTCAATTTGTTTCTATCTTCAGGTGAAAGCTATGCTACAAGATTATTATGAGTCAGTACTGCCTATCCAGTCTCAATTTGTTTCTATCTTCAGGTGAAAGCTATGCTACAAGATTATTATGAGTCAGTACTGCCTATCCAGTCTCAGTTTGTTTCTATCTTCAGGTGAAAGCTATGCTACACGATTATTATGAGTCAGTACTGCCTATCCAGTCTCAATTTGTTTCTGTCTTCAGGTGAAAGCTATACTACAAGATTATTATGAGTCAGTACTGCCTATCCAGTCTCAGTTTGTTTCTATCTTCAGGTGAAAGCTATACTACAAGATTATTATGAGTCAGTACTGCCTATCCAGTCTCAATTTGAGTTACCTAGAGAATACAGAAACAGATTTTTACATGTGGATGAATTAAGACAGTGGTAATACATCTGTTCATAGATTTCAATGATCATGTTTTTTAATTTTTGATTTTGGCATTTGCATATAACAAATTAATGAAACCTGTAGAATTGATTGACTACTGATTTATGACAATATGGCACTTCCAAGATTGTTTTCTCCTGGTCCTTACTCATTTTACTCACCCGTCACATGTGAACTTCAGAAAGTCTGGGCATGTTGGGATTAGTAATATGTGATCTGCATTGAATATCATATTATGGGTAATGTAGCCCTACAAGTAGTGGAATGTTATTAGTGGAAATCTGTTTAAGGAATAAAACCACTAATTCATAGCCAGATTGCTTTATGTTGAGTTCTGCAATTTCAAGCATTAATGGCTACTTTGTCTTAAGTTCAAATAAAGTGGCAGTCATTTCTTGTCAATACTATACCTTATCCTGCCTTGTGCTGAAAAATTCAACATAACTTTAATTGCATATTAGAGCGCACTGGTTCCCGGAAGTTTGGTAGTACGGAAACAAGTACTTCTGATCTGAACAACAGGCCAAATGTGCCCTCCTATTATAATTTCAAATGTTAGTTTTATTATTCAAAAGAAACTTTCAACAAGGGTTTTACAGTGATCCCAAGTCCTTAAGCTTTCATTTGATACCCAAGTTACCCAAATATTTTACTTATTGACAAAGTTACAGCTATGCGTAGGGACTAATTTGTTTAAAATATGTACTACTTTCTTTATGTTCTTTCTGACCGGGCCCTAATTTATTGCTTCTTTACCTTAAATTGTTGAATTTTTTCATTTGCACACGAGAAATACTCGACAGATGGGCAGATAAAATGTCACACTAATGGACATGGAAATATTTACCGTCTTGGAAATCTTGTATTGGTACACTCAGTATAAAAAATTACAGAAGGGAATATCAAACAAAGTTTAAAGTAATATCATAATTTAAACATAATTGGTGAAAAAATTGTCTTCCACAATTGCAATTGAAGGATTTCCATTCTTGGACTCATCAGTAATTAAATTTCATCCTTAGAGTTTTCCAAAATGACAACAAAACTTCATATTTGAAGGTCATATACCTTTTGGAATACCTGTGTTTACAGGACTAGTTTCCCTTTGATGAACTAGCACTTTTAAAACTATACTCAAGTGAAAAATGGATACCTATCAATATCTTAATTATTTTGTGATTTACAAAATCTTATAACATGAGTATTTATCAACAAGATCTTCATGAGTTTGAGGAAAAGTTACGTTAAGTTGATTGATAACTCTTTTATGCATTTAAACAGAATTTTAACACATGATTTTTGGTATGTTTGTAGGAAAAGATTAAGAGACTGGTTAAAGTTTTTTACACATATTGCTTTAGTGGTACTCGTCTTGTTTACCATTGCATCATATTTTGGTGAAAAGGTAAGAAATACGAAATTCTGAGTAAAATTCTCTAACTCAGGTTTAGTACTAAGTCATCATGCAGAAACTTGTTATATATCTTCTCCCGAGAAACATCCTGTACCATCAGTCTCTCTATTCCTTACTGTGTTAAATTGATATTTCAGTTAGGCTTTTTACAAGGTATTATAAAATTATGAGACCTTATATTATCTTGACTCATATTTACTAGAAACAGGAGGTCATGAAGTAATGGCAATTACACTATTACATGCTAAAACATGCACTGAGTTTATACAATACACATATTTTTTGGTTACCATGGTTAGTTTTATTACCTTCTATTTACTCATTATAATTCCAGTATAAAACTACCTCAAAAATCTTAAGTATTAGAATATACCTTGGTATTGTATATGCAGCGTAGCAAAGTTAAATATGTGTGTGACTGGTAGTAAGGATGTTTTATATAAAAAAAAACAATCTTGTGAATTTTCTGGGATATTGATAATGCTATTATTTTGTATAATCTAACTAATTTGATTTGTTCAGAAAGAGTTAAGCATATCGTCATCAGTCACTACTTTCAGGTTGATATATCCTTGTATTTACCTCATACAAAAGCTATAACTGTATAATGATTTATACAATAATGACCTTGTGTAGAACCACAAGACAAGCATAATAAGGGCTTTTCCAGAATTGATTGTATGGGTTGGTTGGATGGCACTTCTATTAAGCTTTTATTGGTGGTGATCATTTTAGAAAGATTGAGTGAACAATTTAAGGAAATAATCATATAAAATTTTTTCATGGCAGGATTAAATTAAAAAGACTAGTGCCTTCAGACCTCCCCATACACTTATTTCTGGAAAGGCCCTAATGCAACTTAGGAACAGAATGCAGTTAAACCTAGATCAATTACAGTTAAGGGGAGTTAATAAAGTTTCAGGGGAGTTAACTGTTGACAAGCCTGTAATGTTCATAGTGTTACAATGTGAGTAATTATAATGTCTGGCTATGGAATTCAATCATAATATTATAGAATTTAGAAATAGGACTTTGAGTAAATCTAGGACAAAGGAAATTTTCAGCTATTACACTTTTATTTCAGATTGAAGCCTTACAGAAAAAATACAGACGACAAAGACCGTCGTCTGATGAAGGGAAATTGATGACCGTATGACGGTTACTGCTCTGGATGGTTACACCTGACATCTTAATGACAATTTTAATAATACTCCTTTTTATAATTATCTCTCTTATGGCCTATGAATTCAGTAAAAGTTGAAACTTGCATTAATGACAAAGTTTTATATTAATCTTTGATAATACTAAATTTTAATTTCCGGCTGTACATTTTGAATTGATGTCTTCAAGGAATATAATGAAATTATATCATATAAATTAAGAACAATGTCCACACTAAAATCAAGGAATGCTTTTAAGTACACTAATGAAGCAGTAATAGTGTTTAACTATATGGATTTTGAGTAAGTCAGACCTTTCTAATGCTTAAAATGATAAAAAAAACAAATATTCCTTGAATGAACTTGTTATATTTAATTGTATATGCAATGTTTTCTATACTTATTATTTTTTACTTTATAAGAAAAAAAAACATGTCTTCCGAGTTGTTATTTACCATTGATGTTGTATACAACAATTGTTTGTGTTTTTACTTTAAACAAAGCTACCTGTAATAGTGACGAGAGATTTTATAAATTATGATGTCAGATTTAAGTATCCAGAGCATTTGTTATTTATTTATTATGTATTGTTATACTGACCTGAGTTATTTTTATCAGAGCAAATTAACGGGTTAAAATCTATCATTTGCATCAATAAGTTGTAATTTTAAAGTGATTTTTCATTTAAATGTGGGCTTTGATCAAAGTAATTCGGGTTGGAATTGCAATGTGAATTTTATATTTTTTCATTTTTGTTATGAGAACTGTTTCCATTTTTGACGTTTAAAGAAATATATTGTTTACTACTGCCATTTTCAGTAAGGACCAATAATATTATAGTTTTAATTTTTTTTAGTTTAAGATAATTATAAATAATTTCAAAATTTCTTCAGGCCTATTTCACTGTTGTGACATTACCACTGACTTTTAACTTTCCATGACTGGTGGCACTATTAGATAGATCAGGAACTGCTCACCCTTCAGGAGCACCTGAATTTCCCCCAATATTTGGTGTGTTGTTATTTATTTTGCATTTTTATTGTGTACAATTTTTGAGTAAAATTGAAATGGTAGTTAATGAATTGAAATAAATGTTAGTGCTTTACAGTGAACACCCTGTGACATGATTGTGTTAAAACCTGTATTTGAAACAATAACAAAAAAAGGAAAAGCAAATTTCTGAATTTTGATATGCAGTACCTTTTCTTATGCAAGTAAACTATATACTCTGTTACAGGAATGAAAAAAAAAACACAAAAGAAATAAAGATGTGGCTATAGGAAATCATGTTTTTCTTTCATGTAGATAAATACAGATTCTTACATTGGTACCAGTGGATAATCAGATTTATCCAATCTCGATAGTTAAGTCATTGAATTTTAAAGTACAAGCCTTGGAGAGGACCTTAAAATTGATAATTTAACTACCGAGATTGAATAAATCCGATAATCCACGAGTAACTATGTAAGAATCTGTTTCTCTAATGATTATAAATTAAATTTTCATTTTTGATAAACGAAAATCCCCTTAGAGTGCCTTCCACATTTCACAAAGTTGTCAATTTCTTTAACACCTGTTAGCACATTTCGATTCATCCAGTGAGCTGATAAAGGCTATGTCCCTGAAACTCAGACAATCATCTTCTGAGATCATTGACATAGAAAGTTGTATATGTGCCCTATTCCAATGAAGCCTGTTTACAAAATATCCACATGTAAAATATTTTTTGTTTCTTACCAAAAATTGATGAAAATTTCAAAATGTATATATTGGCAAATCTACAAATTTAAGATCAATTGAAATAAAAGAAAATTAGTTGAAATGTATTTTGCCAAGTTTGAAGGAACAATATTTAGAATTGACAAGTCAATTATTTATCAGACCACAAAATGACATCCAAAAGTAACTTTTATATATTAGCAACACATTAACATTGGTGTGACTTATTCAGAATGATTCTGATCAGGTCATGTATCCTTCCTTCCATATTTATGAATGTTATTACCATTGATTATAATTTATGAAACATGACAGGTGCTATATGAAAAGCAAGAATCACTCCTAAACAAAGAATCTGAATTTTTCCTCACCTCAGCATTGCTCAGTGAGTTTCATTTCATAGCCGATTTTAATCTCATCTCATTAAAAATGGAAACAGTTCCTTTACATAGTTTCGATAGTGGGAATTTTATCCATGTATAATTGTGGAGCAGTACTGTTTAAATGAATTATAATGATCATGTGTGGGAACTAATGAATTTTATTTAAGGATATGATTGTGGTATGATTAAAATGAATGGTGGGATATAATTGTAGGTAATATAATTATGATGACTATGTAATTATCATTTTCATATTAAATTGATATCATTTTATAACCATGGAAACTTGGATGGGAAGTGTAAATTTGTTATTTTTACTAACTATAGGTAATTATTTATTTTTGGTTACAATCCATCAAATGTGCTTCAAAATGTTAGTATGTTGATTATTTCCCATTTCCAAAAAAGGAGGATATATATAGAATAATGGCATTTTTAAGTCTCCCAAACGAAGTTTGGGAAGACTTATTGTTTTTGCTCAGTTCTTATTATTATTATTATTATTCTTCTTCTTCCTCTTCCTCTTCCTCTTCCTCCGCTTTTAAATTTGAACTTGTCCGCACCCGTTCTCCAAAACCGCTTGTCAGATTAACTTAGGGTTTCACAATATGTAAGACTAACATGACTAGTGGTGCAATCAGGGTTTTGTTTGTGCAATGGGGTTTATAAAGGGGTACTTTGAGGGGCAAAAAGAAAAGAGGGTTTTACTATAGAATCCTATGGGATTTTATTTTTTTAAATTTTCAAATGATTATAAGTTGAAAACCCTTTGTGATAGACACAATCTTTTTAATTGAAAATGTTCTAAATGATAAAACCCATTAAATGAAATACAGGGTTAGTCCCCAGGGGTCACCCCCACCCCCTGCCATTTAAGAAAGTTCTAATACCTTGTAAGTGGTCAAGATATCCACCCCTAAACCATATATATTCTGGTTTGTCATGCTAAGATGGTTTGAATGATATACAGGGTTAGTCCCCAGGCATCGCTAATGCATACAACTTTACTAGACCAAACCAATTTTCACTGGACTTTGCCCAATGTCAGGCGACCCTGGGAATTACGAATTATGGGAGCTTCGTTTGGGAGACTTTGTAACAGCATCCTGTTACAATCATTTCTTGTTGTTTTTGATTCTGACTTTATCAGCAAGAATATCAAGCGAGCCTGGTAGTGCAAGCTGATAATTGAGATGAAGTCAGCATCAAAATATAAAATGCCATTATTCTTTTTATCAGCAATTTGTTTTAACAATATGTATTTTATGGTTGAGAAAATACAACAAAATGAAAGTTAGTAAAACTATTTGCACACATAGAAAACATTGTGATAGTTGTTTGGTTGTATATATGAAGTTGCATGCATTTCATTGATAAATTGACATGGATGGACACTGAAACATGATTTATTGCCTTATATTTTCCAGTATCAGGTCCTGTCCATGATCTAAGATATATTAGGCAGTAAGATCAAAGGGAAAATGTACAAATCACTGATAAGTCTGTCTATCAGTCTATCTGTCTCATGAATTTTTGTTGATTTGGTATCAAACTTCATGTAAGCATGCTGTACTGTGTCATGTGGTTAGACATTCATTGCTTATCAACTTCTTGTTTACAAAAAACTTAAATATTATTAGACTTAGTGGCCCTGTCTGAATTTTTCATTGCATTTTTCTAAGGAATTATAAATAAGAGCTTCCTGAAACTTGGTATCAAGCTTTATGCTAGCATGCTATACCTTGTGATGCAGTTTCACATTTATCGCTCATCAACTTTCTGTTTACCAAATACTTGCACATAATGGCCATGTATGTAATTTTCATCACACTTTTCTCAGGAACTACAAATCATGATTTTTTTGTGAAATTTGGTATCAAACTTAATGTGGACATACTTTACCATTTGATGTGTTTTCACATCAATCACTCATCAACTTCCTATTTATCAAATACTTATAACTGGGTTATAATAAGTGAGCAATAGCTCACAGTTCAACTTGTTTTTCTGCAAGAAGAACATATGATAAAAGATTTGTCTTTACCTTTTGAATTCTAAAACTTAAAAGTATTCTAAAAGTTAAAAGTAGAAGAAATATAGAAAAAAGATCATCTTCTAGTTATCAAGTCTTTTGGCTGTCAAATTAATTTTGAAATTTATCTTGCATATTTGCTTTAGGCCTTCAAATTTCTTGTATTTAAAAACAATCGACCATATTTGTCAAGTTTGCCTCATTTTGAGATCTTCCAATTAATATAATTTAATAGCTTAAAGATATGAAAAAATTAAGATATGAAAAACTGCATTATCAAAAAAAAGCAACTGAAAGTTTCAATGTCAGTAGGACAAAATTTCACTTTCATATTTTTATCAAATAATGTTTACAGTTTTATTTTCCAATTTACATTTTCCCTTAAGGTTCTGATAGAAGACATGTGTGCAAAATATCACAATACTGTATTCCTTCCAAAAGAAAAGGAAATATTTGAAAAAGAGGTTGATTTCCTCTTAGTACATATTTACCATCACCCTTTAATTGAAAATAATATTTATGATATGTGTGTCAGATACACTACACTTACTTAAATCACATATGATAAATGTTACTTACATGTAAATCATATGTTAGTCCTTTACATGTATGTTATGGTCAGATCTTTCGCACAGGTAATAAATAACATACATGTAGCTATGTCCATATTACGACAGCACACATGTGTCACATGTTTAGAATTTTACCATTGCAGCTTGTAAGAATATAGATTTGTGCACATTTGTGCTAAATACAAATATTATTTACCAACTTTTATAGAGATTCATGGACTACAAATATTTATAGAGATTCTTGAACTACAACTATTTATAGAGATTCATGAACTACAACTATTTATAGAGATTCTTGAACTACAACTATTTATAGAGATTCATGAACTCCCTTCAACATTCCAAAATAAAAATAAAAGTATGAAATTTTTTTGTCTTTTTGTTTTAATGTTAGGATTATAACAGTATGAACAATAGTTTATTTGTATGAAATTGAATCAACTATTTAACAAATTTCAATATTCCACTTATGGAGGAAATCAAGATAAGGAGTGCCAATGAGACAGCTATCCATCAAAGACCAAAACAAGGACGTACACAACTATAGGGCACTGTTAGCCTTCAATAATGTGCAAAAACCCAAACCATATAGTAAGCTATTAAAGGCCCCAGTATGCCAGATGTGAAACAATTTAAATGAGAAAACCAAAGTCCTAATTTGTGCAAAAAATAAACGAAAAGCAAATATGGCAGACATCAACTTACAACATTAACAACCACTAAATGACAGGCTCCTGAGTTTGGACAGGCAATAAACAATGTGGCGGGGTTAAACATGTTCTCTTACGAGAAAACAACCCAAAACTAAAATACAAAGGAAAACACTAAATTCACGGAGACACATTCTACTGCATCCACACATCACTAGCAACAAATGCTAATAAAATAATGAGACTTGTTTTCAGGACAACATTTTTCAGATTGTATTGTCAGCTAGTATAACGAATATTGCATATGCATGTATTTTATTAGAAATCAAATCACCAGTAAGAAACCCCTTTAAAAAGGTAACTGAAAAAATGCAGGATGAATAGTTACCTTCCATGCAAATAGAGATGTGGGATATATTCTAATGAGACAGCACTAGCATACCCCAACAAACAATAAAAAAAACTATATGTTACAAAATCAAGAGTTCACACTCTAAAATGTCTCCCCTGTTGTACTAATCATGATTGAAATTATGTTGTAAGTCTTTAGATGAAGGTTTTCCTACAAGTATTACATAAACTTGACATTGTCAATGATCCATATCTGTTATGAGGTCAAGGTCAGATGAACATGACATTTACGCCTAACAATGCTTCCATACACAAAATATAGTTTACCTTTTGCTTAAAGTATCTGAGAAACTGACCAAACCAAGAAAACTTGACATTGACCAATGAACCATGAAACTTCCCATAATCCAGTCAGAAATGAGAGCAAAAGAAAAGATGGTAATTGTATTTGGATTGTCCTAGGTCTCTCTTAAAGTAATAAATCCCCAGTTTGGCTTTCATGATTTGAAGGGATACAGTAGCTCGACAAACTGGTAAATAGATGTCATACAGATGTGTTTAATTGAAGAATGTTTTCTGCTGAAGGACACCGGTTTGATTTCCTATTGAATAATAGGCTGATACTTTCACATGGAAAAGGATGCCAAATAAAAAAGACATTCATTACATATACAATAAAGAGGCTCAGGCAGTAGATACAAAAGGTTTATTCAAAAGTAAGAGAAACTGACAAAACCATGGCAAAAAAAGAAAGACTAAAAACAGTTTACAAAACATTTTATAGAATAAAAGTGCTTATGAGCACTGAAGGGTAATGATGGCTTTCATTTTGCAAATTTGTGAAATTTTAAATAAACATTGAATTGTATTTTGATAGGCAAAATTAAAAAAATTAGTTGGAGTTATCTTCCTTTGTTCATGATTGTATATTTGTAGTTGAACCTATTTTTATAACAGACTCATACACCATGCATTACTTATGTAATTTTTAATAAAAAAAATGTTTTGTTGACAAGTATGGTAATTCAAGAACACATCATATTGTAACCTAAATATCAAAGTATTACATATCAATAAATGTCATAACATTGACTGGATAGGATCTTAATAATGATCACTGCACTATTTTGTTTGAACTATCAAAGGTAGTGATATACCTTGGAATATATAGATATCAAGTCAATACAATAGGGTTTTGATTGCATTCCATGCAATCTTTACCCAAAAATTAGACTAAGCACATAAACCCCTTAAACACTAAAATTTGTATCTCAGGTGCGTAAGTTCGGTAAGTAGATCCTGCTCCACATGTGGCACTGGTGTTGCTCATGGTGAGTCTCATCTGGGATGTCTGAATCGAGGAAAAGAGGACTGGATTGTGGCTATGCCAATTGAAATATGTATGTGGTAATCTGTGAGATAGATATTCCATATTAGAAAATAAAGGTTTGCTTAGAAATTTAAGTTATACCTACTTTCCTTTTTTCCATCAAAACTATCTGAAAGAATTATTGACAATTTTTACTCATTTCTTGTGTTTTTGCGATTATTTTGAGAACTATAACAGATACATACACAGGAACAATTGTCACCAAACTAAGATCTAGCAATAAGTCAGCATGACCTTAATTTTTAACCTTATATGAGATATATACTCCTCTAAAAGGTTACGTCAAAATATGAGGCAGAGTTAACTGTTCATGTGGTATGCTTTATTTCTAGTTCGATGTGATAGATGAATTGAGCATAGTCACCAAGCTTTAAATCATTTAGTGTGAGGATATTATCTATATAGCGGTATTGAAGTTGAAGAATTCTTCTGGAGAAGATCCTGTATGAAGTCGGTCTCATATAAGAAACAAGTCGGCAAGAAGAGCACAATTGGTTGAAAAACACATGCTTCAAACGTAATAAATGTAGTCAATAAAAAAATCAGGTATTCTGATGATGTCAGCTTCAGAGAATTTAATGTTTATGAAGTCAGAGTGAATTATCCCTTTCTAAAGCAAGATATTTGTATACATTGACAATTCTTTTTTATGAAACAAAGTTGGGCTTATTCTTTCAATCTGTCTTTAAGTATAGAATGGTGAATACTAGTACACAGACAAATGTTTTATACTGTTGCAAAAGGTACGAATCTTAGATTGTTGGATCTAGTATGTACTCTAATGGATCTTTGGAAGTTTTTTAGTATCCACACCTGATTCACACCACCCCTAGAGAATGTAGTTTAACAGTTACTCTGAAGCCTGGTTTGGATTGCTGAAAAACTAATATTAATAATTTGGAGAGGTTTCTTGAAGCATGTAGCAGACTCAGTAATATTATAACGTTCTTTGTAAGGACACTTATGTAATTTGGGTTTTCAGTATAGTTAATTGGAAGATCCCATTCTTTATCCAGGGTTGAAATTTCAAAGGAACATAGAACAGACCAATGATTTTGTTCATTTAATTCCTTTATGTAATATGATTTACAAACAACAACTAGATTTTTTGGTCTTTGTCAGCAAGGACAACATTTTTGTCATGGGGGTAGTACGGGTGTTTAGCAACATTGAGTCTTTGAAGACAGATGCAGCATGGATGTGAACATAGACACATTGTCTAAGTGTCTATGTATAACTGATAGCTGTTTCACACATGCTTTGGTATGATCATTGAATGGATAAGATTGATGAAGTAGGTAACAACAAACTCAAATGATATTGTATTGCTTAATTCATTATTCACGTATCTTTTTATTCATGATAAGGCAATTTTTCAAGCTAACTTATTTAATACTAACAGAGCACAAAACAATCTTCTAACAATCAGATACAACCTCTCAGACGTATTACAGAACTATATATATATATATAATACAGACTTTACCGAATTCATGAAATTGCCGAGTGTGATAATAATGCATATTCCGAACCCCAAGGAAAATTAAAAAAATGGGGAAGTCCATAAAAACTTACAAAATCAAACGTGGTATGCGTCGTTTAAAGTAGAAAATAAAGGTTTCCTTAGAAATTTAAGATATCCCTACTTTCCTTTTTTCCATCAAAACTATCTGAAAGAATTATTGACAATTTTTACTCATTTCTTGTGTTTTTGCGATTATCTTGAGAACTATAACAGATACATACACAGGAACAATTATCATCAAACTAAGATCAAGCAATAAGTCAGCATGACCTTAATTTCTAACCTTATATGAGATACATACTCCTCTAAAAGGTTATTACCCTTTAAAGACACACAAGTAGCAGAATTCCAGACCTTTGGATTACGACCCCAGAGCGTAAACTATTTGTATAAAGCTTTTTATTTCAGAACGTAGAAGACCTGGATGCTTCATACATTGTATACGGATGACTTATGTTAAGAAGATTCCGTCTGTCCTTTGACCATTTTCCTTGACCTGATTTTCATGGTTCATCCACTGCTTGAAAAATAAATGGAGAATGTGTCCGATGATGGGCCACAGATGCCCTCGCTTGTAAATATGCATGAGTCAACTTTCATAACATTTGGTCGAGGCAAACTAAAGTTAGAGAACGAAACGAAAAATTCAGCAATTTTTATGTTTATAAAGGAGCATAACTCTTGAACGGTAAAAGTGACGCCACCCAATTTCGATTTTGATCTGTGTTTTGCTGTTTTAAGCATTGTGTATAAGTTTTATAACATTTGGTTGAGGCAAACTAAAGTTAGAGAACGGAAACCAATTTTGGGGACGTACACGGCAGACGGAACGAACGGACAAGGGTAACACTTACGATTATAATTATAGTTGTTTTGTCATGTGTAATACTCGCTTAATATGAGTGAAAGGATAACTATATTTGATATTTGGGATTCTTGCAAGGTCTACATGTCGGTCAGACAGGGTTCACCTGACCTTGACCAGTGATCAAGGTTAAGTTTTTGTGGTCAAGTCCGTATCTCAAATTTTATTAACAATAGATCAACTATATTTGGTGTTTGGAATGATTGTAAGGTGTTCATGTCTGTCTGGCAGGTTTCATCTGACCTTGGCCTCGTTTTCATGTTTCATTGGTCAATGTTAAACTATTATTGTTCGGTCTATTTCTCTGATACTGTAAGCAATAGGGCCACTATATTTGGTATATGAAATGATTATAAGGTGTACATGTCAGTCTGGCAGGTTTCATCTGAACTTGACCTCATTTTCATGGTTCAAGGTTCAATGTTAAGTTTTCGTGGTTATATAAGTTCATCAGATACTATAAGCAAAGGGTCAACTATGTTTGGTGTATGGAATGATTTTAAAGTATACCGGTACATGTATGTCAGGCAGAGTTTATTTGACCTTGACCTCATTTGGATTATTCATTGGTCAATATCAATATTTCTTG